TGCAAGAGTAAGTGTACCTTCATGTTATGGGCATCATGGATGAGTGATGAAGATAGCTTCCAAATTAATTATTTGAACTTAGAGCATAACTACGCTAGGAAATTCACGTTAGGTTCATTGGTTTCATATTCATGGATAGGAATTCATTATACCAAACAAATCGTACACGGACAAAAGATGATTGTCATAAAATTAAGATTAGAAGTTATTAGTAAGTTTGGTATTCATGTCAGTCTTGGTCAATGCAATAGGGCTAAGAAATATGCTTTCAAATTAATAGATGGAACTCTTGTGGAACACTATGCAAAGTTATGGTCATATGGAGAAGAGGTTAGGAGATCAAATCCAGGTTCAACTATCAAAGTTGATGTCAGCAACATGCCAAATAGGAAGAAGTACTTTAGTAAATTTTATGTTTGCTTTGATGTAGTGAAAAAATGATGGATAGAGGAATGCAGGATGATAATAGGACTTGATGGATGTTTTATGAAAGGCATTTGTAAGGGAGAATTACTATGTACTATTGGCAGAGATGCAAACAATTAGATTTATCCAATTGCATGGGTAGTAGCATGTGTTGAGAACAAAGAGAATTGGAAGCGGTTTTTGGATAATTTTATTGATGATTTGCAATTGCATTTAGGGAATGGATACAACTTAATATCAGATGGGCACAAGGTATCTACTAAATTTTTATGATAGTATGTATTGATTATTTATGCTTTGTTTGTTAGTATCTAATCTTATTAAGGTTTTTTGTTATAGGGTTTGATAGAAGCTGTGAAATAGATGTTATCCTATGCAGAACACAGACAATATACTAGACACAATCAAATTTTGCAGAAAAGGTATAGTGGTGCCCACTATAGTACCTTATTTTAGAGAGTTGCACAATCAACAACTGAACAATCATTCAAAACTGCAATGAGAGAGCTTGAGATGATAAATCCAGATGCTCATAAGTACCTGATGGATAATGACCCAAAGACTTGGTCATTGGCAATTTACCAAATTGGACGATGTTGTGCTATTGTAGAGAATGGTATGTGTGAAAGCTTCAATTCACTCATAGTAGATGCTATAAAAAAGCCTCTTATCATAATTTTAGAGGAATTAAGATTGTATATGATGGAAAGATTATACAACTTAAAGTTGAAGGGACAAGCATGTGGAAATCAAGTATTCCCGAAAATAAGAGAGCTACTCAATAAACTAAAGTTCTATCAGAGAAATTACATTGTACTACCTAGTGGCTTGAATCAGTTTGAGGTGAGAGGAATTGGAGATGTATATGATAGTTATCTGGAGATGAGAACTTGATCATGTAGGTTATGGGAACTCAATGAATATTGTTGTGTCCATTCGGTTGCTAGTGTGGTGTATCTCAATGGGAATGTGGATGATTATGTGGACAAAATGTTCAATAGCAATACCTTCATGAAATCATATAAGTATAGAATTTCAGGGATGAATGGGTCTAACATGTGGCCAGAAACTGAATATACACCACCATTAGCCCCTGTGAGTAGAAGAATGCTTGGAAGACCAACTGTTAAAAGGAAGAGGGATGTCACAAAAAATAATGGCAGAACACAGAAAAAATAAACAAGGATTCAACAGTTACTAATTGCACCAAGAATGTTTCCAAAACTGGAAAGGGGTGAAGTGCAGCATTTGCAAGCAACTAGGTCACAATAAAGCAACTTGTTCTGTGGGAAGACCCCAAAAACTTAATGTAAAGAAGACATGGAACAAAAAATGTTCATGTATTACACTACTTAAATTTTATTTGGATTGTACATAAAATTTAGGTTTTCATGACTTATATAACAATCTTTCACCATGCTATCTAGGTAACTGCAAATGAAGGTCAAGAACAAGAAGAAATTCAATTAACTCCAATTGAGGTACAAGTTACTCAAACACAAGTTTGGGAAGGTATCCAAGTTGAGGTGCAAGTTGAACAGTGATTAGATGATGATGGTATTGACATTGAATATTTGTATAATGATGTGGAAGCTGAAGAGGATAATATTGAAGTTTAAGAGGTCAATGCTGCTAATGCTCAAGTTCAAGAGGTCCCACAAGTACCACACATATATGACTTATAGAGAATGATCAAAAGAAGAAAGTTTGAGAGAATCATGAAGTTGAAGCTAGGTAAGAGAGTGGGTGATGAGCATGCTCCAGGGAATTCAAGTGAAAAAGCTCTTCTTATAGTCTAGGATAGTATTGGTAATTTTGTTTTAATATGGTTACGTTGTTGAAAGAATTGGATCCCTTGATACTTGGTAGTTTTTATTTATGTAAGGTTATATTGAATTTGAAATGTATGAAAGTATGTTGCCTTATTATTACATGATATAGTGATACTAGGTTGGTTGCCTTATTATTGCATGCATGCACACAAATGGGTAATATGGTACATTATCATAATATGTGCATGATATATACAGACCAAAACAATATGCTCCTCATTTTTTATTATTGTCAGTTCTTGCACATAAAAAGGGAAAACAAAGTGGACACAAACCGATCCACTCCTATATAATCCAACATTTATGGTCCCATGTTATTATTAAAGTAATGTGGTCCATTCTTGCACATGCAATATACTCAGTTCCTTGTAAACAACACAGACAGTGTACTTTTGCAAGGTCCAAGAATCTAATACACACACAAACACTTTCCAATTGACAATAATATAAGGACACTTTTCATTATAATAATGTCAAAAGACTTTACAAAACCATACATTTCTAGTACAAAAGGCCCTATCATTCAGTCTTGGCAGTATTCATGAACTGCATACAGTACTAAAATGATCCCAAAAGTTGGAATTGTTATCATCAACCACTCATATACCAAAGCCCCCAAAAGTACGTTGGAATTTTTATCGTCAACCTAACCCTAAGACATATACAAAAAACCCCATCCCCGACTAACTTCACTTCCATAACATCCAAAGGCAAAACACAACCACCACAAGAACCACAATCACAATCTTCAACCTAGCAGCTACTTTGTTTGACTGAACCAGGAGCTTTTGCATCCCCTCAACCTCATGATTCTCCTTTAATAGGAGAAACTTTAACTCTACCACTTTAATCCTACACTCACGCAATTTAGATTGATCCTCTCTACTGTCCAAATGTTGCTTCATGGAGTAAATCAATGTTTTGTAGTAACCATCTTCCAACACATCATCTATCCACTCACAGAAGTTGAATTTCATAAGCATGGTTGGTTAATCGTTTAAACAAGCATAGGTCGTAGTTATTAATCAATAAATCTTGGTCTATTAATCAAGTAAGCAAACACAGAATGTCATAATTGCTAATCAAGTAATATTTATCGTATTGTTCATGTCAGACTAATTATGGTTTTTGGAACCCTAATTTCTTGAATAAAGCTTAGATTAAGTAAAGGATTATCAACACAAAAGTAATGTGGGTCAATTGGAAGCTCGCCAAGCTATTACGACATTTACACCCTGCTCCTGAGTTTCACTTAACGAAAGAACAGAACAGAATTGAGAGGATTTGGAAGGAAAACAGAGAATTTTGGTTGCTCCCTAGTTTTTTTTTTTAAGAAGAGAAGAGAAGAACAGAACGGATTGTAGAGGAATTGTATCGCTCTAAACTTTCCTCCCAAATCGGGAGGAATTGGAGAGAAAGAAACGCATGGAAGATAAAAAGTTAATTTATGACGAAAATACCCTTAGCCTTGATGATAAAAGGATACGCCCCTGTCTTCTATTCTACCTTCTTCATCATCTAGCCTTCTGCCTTCTCCAACTGGTACGCACAATTTCTGTTTTTTTTTACAGCTTCTTATATAAAGCATAATTTCTTCTTATATACAGCTTCAAACTAGTTTTTTGGTTATTATTCTGACGTATCATCTAGCCTTCTGCCTTGTGTTTTGTTTTTGGTTATTATTCTGTACATAATTTCTTCTTATAAACAACAACCTGTTTTCATATTTCTAGTAAAAAGGGTAAAATTGGAAATAAAATCAAATTGGATATAATATCAGCAAATGACTATACAGCAAATTTGTTTTTCCTTTCTCCTCACAGTAAGTATATATCAGCAAATGGGCAGAAATATATATAACTAATGATAACAAACTTTTTATATATTTTCATTTAATTCCTGTGATCTTTTGTGGTTTTCCCAGATATATTAACACCCAAAAAACTAATCAGCATTAAAAATTAATTTTTTTTTGTACATGCTTAAGTACTTATTGTTTGTTGTAGATGTATAATTAGAATAATATAAAACTTTTAACTTACCATTAGTATGACCTGATGGGCATTGTTTGTCACAAATTTCTTAAAATTAGCTATTGAGTTTTATACTTTGAACGACTAAATTCAACTTAAATCTTAGTTGGTAATTACCAATTGATTCGCCTCAATTACATTGGGTGAACCATATTAGAAAACATCTTGTAAATATAAAGTATTTACATATTTGTCTCCATGATGGATAGAATTTACAAATATTCATCTTACAAGTACTTAGTATTTTCAACAATATACATATATCAATATTACCATGCAATCAATTTTATTCGTACACAAAATCTAGATATATGCCTAATACTTTTATGATATTGTTTACCAATATTGCTAGAATGTGATCAATGTATATATGTTTTATATTACTAAATCATATTTCTCCAATTCGGAAATAATCAATATTTAAAAATTGCTTTGAATATTGGAGATGGGGTTGTATATTTTCAAAGCTTAGGGGCTAAAGCAAAACTTCTTTCAACCTTCGACTTTCATGCTTAAGTGAGACAAATGTATGCTACCTATGCTTACAAATGTTTTATTTATTTATTTATTAAGAGTATAAAAAGACAACCGATCTTAATCTATGAAGATGTTCTTAACCTAAATATTGTTGTTTATCAATGTTGTTTAAATTTAACTCAAACTATTTTATCATGTATCAGAAAAACGGATTAGTTCATATATAGTCCTTATGGATACTCCGATACTCAACCCTGCCCATGCTTTAAGAGCCCGACAATTGCAAGTCGTTAACTTGATATGCTTGTTGTTTACTTTTATTACACAACGTAATATGGCCAACAAAAAGCGGGTTAGGTTACCCACTAGAAAAGTTATTTTAGAAAGACAAGTTGTACGGGAAGAGTTGCTACACAATCTTTTAGAAGGTGGTCAATGTCGTGACCTTATTCGTATGAGTGAAAACGCTTTTAGGAGATTGTGTGAAATCTTACAAACTGTTGGTGGTCTACGACGTACGCAACGCATGTCCGTTGAGGAACATGTTGCTAGATTTTTGCATATTGTAAGTAATGATTTGCGAACTCGGTTTACCTCATGGATGTATCGTCGCTCTAGATCAACAACGAGTAGGTGCTTCCATAGAGTATTACGATCGATTATAGCAATAGAAGGTCTTTATATTCAGCAACCTACAGGTGATGTTGTCCCAAGAGAAATTCAAGAAAGTAGGAGATTTTATCCTTTTTTCAAGGATTGTATAGGGGCAATAGATGGAACACATGTTCGTGTCCATGTGCCTAATAGAGATGCCCCTAGATATCGTGGTCATAAATGATACCCGATAATAAATGTATTAGTTGCTTGTACATTTGATTTGAAGTTTACGTATGTGTTAACGGGTTGGGAGGGTACTGCATCAGACTCGAGAATAATAAAGAACGCATTTACTAGAAACGATAAACTAATAATTCCATCAGGTAATTTATTAAACCAATGTAATTTCAATATCTAATATTTTTCAATAATATTGATTAACCTCTTTATAGGTAAATATTGTTTAGTAGATGGGGGTTTGCCTCATACGAATAAACTAATGGCGCCATATAGAGGTGTTAGATATCATTTAAAAGAGTACTCCATGCGTGGTCCACAAAATTCTAAAGAGTTGTTTAATCTTCGTCATGCTTCTTTACGTAACACCATTGAGCGAGCTTTTGGTGTCCTTAAAAGAAGGTTTCCTATCATTCGAAGTATAACGGAACCATTTTACTCTTGTGAAACACAATCTGCCATATTTTTGGCATGTTGTATTTTACACAACTTTGTATTAGATGAAGACCGCGACATAAATCTTGAAGATGAGGTGATGCAAGAGATCTTAAACGGACCACAAGAGCAAGATCGTCGTAATTCAACAGAAACAAATGAGGGTAATAGAATGGCAGAGCAACTAAGGAATTCAATTGCAAATGAAATGTGGGAAAATTATTTGACACATTCAAACAATTAAATTAATATGTAAAACAAGTTTCATTTTGATACATTTTGTTTTCAATTTCACATTGTATTGATGATTGGTTTTTTAGATTAATTATGTTATTTACCCTTCATATATTTTGATTAGTATTATCCTTCATATTGTGGTCTAACAATGTACCATTCTTTAATTTTTATTCCTATGTGCAAAGTCATCATGATCAAACAGGAAGCTGGTGGTAGTGAAAAGGAACAAGTTAAATGGTCATAAATAATGGATTATGCGTACATCCAAGCGATGATTAAACAACAAGAGACACGCAATAGGGTGAATGGTAGTTTCACACCAACTGCATATGCTCAAATGGTTGAGGAATTGAACACAAACCATCAAATGGATATTACCAAAAGTCATTTGAAGAATCGCTACAAAACCTTAAAAAAAACATTTTTCGCAATGGTACGATCTGTTTAGGGGAATTTCAATGAGCGGGTTCTCTTGGAATTCGTCTACTCTAACTAATAGAAGCGGAGGAAGAAGTATGGGATAATTTAATAAAAGTAATTGTTCCTTTTATGTCTATGTTATTTTTTTAAAATATTTTATGTTATCGTTTGCAATACTAATTATTTTTGTGTTGTTATACAGTCAAAACCTGAGGCTGTGTCTTTAAGGACAAAAAAGATTGCATACTTCGATGAGATGTTGGTATTATTTGCAAGGGATAGGGCATCTGGTGCACATGCTGAGACAGCGAAAGAAAGAAATGCCCGATTAAATAAAAATGAAAACATTCAAGTTGAAACACAAAAAGAAGTTGATGACATGTTAGCTAACAATGAAATTCATTTGGAGAACAAATATATTGATCTTGATGATAACATTCAGGATGTTATTCCACCTCCTTTTTCACAAGAACAGTCTTCATGTGCAAAGAAGTGTAAGAGTAAAAAGAGGAAATTTGAAGACGACGAAGAAGAAGATATTAACTCAAAGATAATGAAATCGGTTGATAATGTGGTTGGTGCTATCAGGGAGGGTAATATAATTTTTGATAGAGCTTATCCTCGGGAATATACAGGGGAAGAAATTTATAGAGAATTGGAGTTGGTGGGTTTGGAACCCCATGAATTATCGAGGGCTCTAAATTTTTTGGCAACAAATCAAGCAAAAGCTAGGATATTGTTCAATTGTCTCCTTCAGATACGGATGGGTGTCCTCAAAGATATGATGGGTGGACGTGATTAAATAACCTTGGGTGATTGTTACTGGATTGATCTAATGTGTTTATGATTTTGGTTTTTTTTTGTTTTTTTTGAGTTGTTTGTGGTTTTCGTTTTGCATCTTGAAAACAATTGAATAACATGCGGTTTTCCTTTTTACAATTTACTTTATATTAAAATAAAATTGTTTTGTTAATGTTTTAAGTAGAGGGGAGGAAGGGAGAGTTGGTTTTTTTGGGGTAGGGGTACGGTAGAATGAATGTGGGGATGTAAAGACTTAATATTTACTCAAAAGCATAAAAGGTATAATTGTCTTTTTTTTACTTTCTTTTCTTTCCTTTAATGAACTCGGGAGCACCTAAAATGAATACTCTCTTTTCCTTTCTTTCGAACTCGGGAGCACTGGATACTTTATTATTTCCGTTCCCTTCCTTTTCTTTTCTCTCCTTGTTCTTCCTTTCTTTCCTTTTCTTTCCTTTAATGAACTCGGGAGCAGGGTGTTAAAGAACCTGCTCCCAGGAATTTCCAATGTGCCACGATGTCCGTTGTAATGAGGTTTTCTCACAGTCACATTCGGTAGGGTGATTCACGTAACCGACATTGGAACCTCGTAGCCTCAACGGAGGATGAGCAACCCATTGGGAGATTTCTAAGTTGAACAACTTTGTTTGAATGGTCGGATGAAGGAAACAATGTAACAAGAGTGTGCTATATGAGGGTATCATTTATTAGGTAGGTGGTGACCGAGTTGTGACGTGGCTGAGTAGCTAGGTTTAGCTAATCTCACACATCAGATTGCCAAGTAACCGGACAACCGTCTAAAATCGATCGAAACGGCATAATTGACAGGTAATATGAAAGTGACCCATCCGAGACAAAGCCAAAACTTCATTCTGCTACAGCGAAATTCTTGGGCCATCTCAATGGGTTAGTGTCAATTTCCCTTTTATAAACAAACTTAACATTTCCAATCTTAATATTCTTAGTCGTACATAAAGATTTCATAAGGGTATGATATGTTATTTCTTGTATTGTGTTGTGTAGTACCCATTCTTTTCTTTGCAGATTTAATATTCTGAAACCCGGATCTTATTCAATCCGTGGGTCAGTTTTGTCCCGGCTATTTATTGTGTCAACTGGTGTTCGGATCTCATAGCACACGAATTAGTCACACACTTAGTGTAGAACTCTCTCAAATCTCTTTCAATATATTGTGTTCATTTTAGATTAGGGTTTCAGTTGAGTTAATCTCTATGTAAATCACCTTCTGTTAACAGTGAAAAGTGAATCTGGAGTAAACTTCCTTTTGTAATTTGAATGATGTATAAACAATGTGGTTTTATAAACTGATCAAGTTGGGAAAACTATGAGTTTATAGTTTCTTCCCATACATAGCCAAAAATGTTGTGAGCATAGAAACACCATCCTCAAATCCACAACAATTACCCAAGCCATAAAAACACCATCCTCAAATCCACAGCATACAAAACAATTACTTGCTGAGCACACATTTAAGTTCATTATTTCACAGTATGTTTTAAAACCTGAATGCAACTTAACAACCATTGCAAATGGATTTTGAGGCTTAAATTCCTCGATACCCAGACCACAAGTTGCAGATTTCTAACTCGTTAGATTTTTCAAATAGCAAATTTATCAATGTACAGGTAGTTCAACCCTGTATGCAACAACATCTAAACTTTGAAATGAAGCCCAGATAACTTCAATTAAAACAAGTACAAATGCATCACGATAATATGATATTACTCCCTAACAATTTTGCAAACAAGACATTTACAAAAATCATCTCTAAGCCCTCTCACCTCTAATCCTCCTAGCCAACTGCATATCCTTAGGCATAATAGTAACCCTCTTGGCATGAATGGCACACAAATTAGTATCCTCGAACAAACCTACCAAATAAGCCTCCGAAGCCTCCTGAAGTGCAGCCACTGCACTGCTCTGGAACCTCAAATCTGTCTTGAAATCTTGAGCAATTTCTCTCACAAGTCTCTGAAACGGAAGTTTGCGGATCAGAAGCTCGGTACTCTTCTGGTACTTGCGGATTTCCCTGAGAGCGACAGTTCCTGGCCTGAATCTGTGGGGCTTCTTCACTCCTCCGGTGGCCGGTGCTGATTTCCTTGCAGCTTTTGTCGCCAATTGCTTTCTCGGAGCCTTTCCTCCAGTTGATTTGCGAGCAGTTTGCTTGGTTCTTGCCATTTTTTGCGAAGATACGCGGTGATTAAGAAGCTTTTGTTATGTGTATGCAAGACTGATTGCTGTGAGGATTTGTGGAGGAAGATATCTGTTTTTTATAATGGTTTGCCGCTGATGGGGTTTGTGGAGATTTGAAACTTTTCGGAGGGACAGCGGCGCGAACGAGATTTGTCCGTTGGATTGTTGAAGTGATAAATGGACGGCCTAGATTATGGGTTTTAAGGCGACACGGATTGCGATCCGTGTGCTTTTTTTTATGTAACCGGTATGTGTTTTTAAAAAAAATATATATATTGGATTATAAACTTATGTTGAATTTCGTAGAAGACACCCTTGATATTTTAAATTTGGTTGTAAAAAATGCTAACGTGATTTTTTAAATTTATTTAATCGTATTCTTTTTTTGTTTTAAATATAAAATAGCACCTTTGTTATTGGGTTTTTTTTTGTCACCCAAGTAAATCTTTTGTGGGTCCTTTTTATCACGTATTTATTTATTATACCGACTCGGTTTCGTTAGTAACCATCCCCAATTCTATGTTTAAGCTTCAAAACATCAAAGTTGGCAATTAATCTTGGTTTTCACCTAGACTGTTGCGGTAGAGACTGCACCACCGGTACCACTTAAACTGGAACATTGCCTTTCCACCGCGGTTTGGGTACGGTGGAGGCCACACTACGGCTTCCTACAAAAGCGTTCTTTTCTTTCCATTTTATTTCATGTGACCGTTAAACGGTCAGATTTAATATATATATATATATATATATATATATATATATATATATATATATATATATATATATATATATATATGTTTTTTCTTTTTAAGCTTTAAGCTTTCTTATTTAAACCTTTCAAATCTTAACAATTTTTTTTATCTTCCTACTACATTTCTTTCAAAAAAAAAATAAAAAAATGTCATCATTCGGTTCTTCTGAAAACTTTGATATTATATTTGATGTTTTTGTCGCTGCTACTAAATTAGTTGAACAAACGTATGAATCGGCATGCAGTAGCGCAGTCGGAAGTGCTGAACGGAGATCCCGAATATATGTTTATAGAAATCGTGAAAAAACACACAAACGCTTGATACAATACTACTTTCAAGAAAATGTCACTTTTCAATGGTACTACTTCCGAATGTGTTTTAAAATGTTCAAACATTTATACGAACATATAGTCGAAGATCTAACGAAGGAGTGTGATTTTTCCCAACAACGGTTCAATGCTAGAGGTACACCCGATTTCACCACTTTACGAAAATGAGCAGCTGCACTTCATCAATTAGCATATGACATCCCTCCTAATGCGTTGGATGGGAGTTTTAGGATGTGCGTTAGGACTGTACGAGATAGTCTCCATTATTTTTGTAAAACTATTATTCAGCTTTATATGCCAAAATATTTACGTAAGCCTACACACAATGGCATCATGAAATTGCAATTTTATCATGCTAGCGTACATGACTTTCTTGGATGTTAGAAAGTTTAGATTGTCTACATTAGGCATGGGAAATTTTCCCTACCTCACACCATGGTCAATTTACCCGAGGTGATCATGGGCATCCAATCGTCATACTTGAAGAAGTGGCATCATAAGATCTATGGATTTGACATGCTTTTTTAACAACATATGCGACGGATTTGCACATGATTCTTATTTTCAATTGCGTGGAACACCATATAAATATGGTTATTATCTAGTTAATGAGATCTATCCTGAGTACGCAGATTTTTTTTTAAATCGTTTACATGTCTGCATGATTCTCGCTGGAAAAAATAAAGAAATCTCAAGAAAGAGCTAGGAAGGATGTCAAGCGGGCTTTTGGAACTTTCAATAAACATTGGTTCATATTGAAAAAACCAACAATTTTTTTCATCTAGGAAAAAATGCATGAAGTCATATATGCATGTATAATACTGCATAACAAGATTATTGAAGATGAAGGAAGAGCAATATGTGATTATGATGAGCAGGAAACCATTCTCGAGACACAAGCAATAGAAATTGGTGGCGAATAGTACATTGAAAAGAGAGGTGATGTTTGTTCCAATGAAACATTTCATAATCTTTATATGGGCTTTATGGAACACATTTACGAGATTCAACACATTAACATCAATTTGGATCCCCAGAGTGGCCCGGAAAACGAGTTATCGGAGGACAATTTCATGTATTTTTTTTTTAAATGTGATGTTATTTTTCTAATTGATGCAATGTATGGGTTTTTTTATTAATGAAATATTTTATTTTTGATTAAAACTAAAAAATTTAATTATTTAAAAAATTATATATATTGAATGTGGCACCACTCATTGGGTGTGGTATAAAACCACACTTTTGTGGTAAATTGTGAGGTGGCGCCTACGTGGTACTGTGGTTTCATGAGGGAGTGTGACACCGCTCACTCCAGCCTCATGATTTGCAACTAGGGATGAACAAAAGGACCGAACCGGCCGGAACCGGTCCAAACTGAACCGGAACCGGCTTCGGTTAAAATCAAGAACCGAACTGGCCCGGCGGTTCTACCGGTTCCCGGTTCCTACCGGTTCTTGTCGTGTCTTCAAATGTTGGAACCGATCTTCGAAAAATAGCATCATACGGTTTCGGTTTTTACCGGTTCTACTGGTTCCGGTTATATCGATTTCGGTTCCTATAGGTTCCCGGTTCAAAAAATCCACAAAAATAATGTTCCGGTCCCGGCCCGACCGGTTCCGGTCAGTTCCCCGATCCATATGCTCATCCCTATTTGCAACTAGGATGACTATACATAAATACAATATAGGGTTGTTGTCACTGTAGCCAACAAATTTATCAATTTTGTTTTTAAAGGTCCTTCTTTCTTCTTTTTTTTTTTTTTTTTTTTGCATTCTAATAAACATAAAATTCATATTAACTTGTTTATTTAGTCACTTTTACCCACTACGAACA